TTTCACAACACTCTTTAGATCCTCCAACAAAATCAACCTCATCTTCTCCTTCTGAATCACTGTGACTTCTTCCATATTTTGATATTTCAGTCTATAATCAAAATGTGAAAACACCGTAGTTAAAGAGATATATTTATTTAAATATATATTATCCACTGATAGAGATGTATCACCTTTAAGATTGAAATCTGATATCCGAATCTTCTGCAATCCACAAAAACGAGCAGTGGAATTTAACACTGTCATCACTGCAAGGCCATTTCCTTGGGCACTGTGGCTGATTATCTCCTCAAATAGGTTATATCTTCACAAAAGAATGGCACAAATTGATGTTATCAGTGTCCTTGATACACATAACCTATTTAAAAAACTATTTACTATCCCTTTAACACAAAAGTTTAGGAGATAATATAATGCAAAAGTGCTTACCTTCTGTGCATGGCTTACATGAGCATCAGCTACTTTTAGGTTATGAAACATTTTCTTATAAACATTTCTTCTTTGAACAGGGGCTGATTCTCTCCTGAAAAACAATTTTGGTATATTCCTTATTTTACAAAGTTTCCCAAAAACTAAAGCCTTGTATAAAACTGTGCCGAAAACTACCTAACTACCTTACTACATGCAAAGTTAGGGTTGTTTTTTTTTTGCCTGTCAAATTATACACAGACTTGTAGTTGACAAGCAAAGGCAGACAGACAAAGCCTGTTAAATTATATACAGACTTGGTAGTTGACAAGCAAAGGCAGACGGACAAAGCCTGTTAAATTATATACAGACTTGTAGTTGACAAGCAAAAGGCAGACGGACAAAGATGACAAGCTGTATGCAACAAATTATCAAATCAATGTATAAAAAAACAAACAAAAAATTGAGTCTTACGTGTTTCTCCAGGCAAGTCTATGACTCATAAAAGCCACACCACGTGATTGTGTGTATTCCCCTTGTAGTGCCAAATCGGCACAAGTCTTAGCAGTATGAACTCCAAGGACTTCTAAATTAATATCTAAATATACAAAGAAATGTTTATCAGTAAGTTACATTTTGAGAAATGATTTAAAAAAAAAATTGTATTGTAATTCTGTTAAATGTGCTGGATGTT